TTGCCCCCCCCCCCCCCCCTTTCAGGATTATATCTCCTCCCATGATCAGAGGTGTGAGGATGCATTGTTTGGGCTCCTTTTGAAATGCAGCTCTGAAGTGCTTAGATCAGGTCGGGTTTGATCTGCTCTCCTAAAGAAAGGTGTTAAAACAAGGGACAGCGACCCCTCCTCCCCCTGCATTCCTAATTCTCTGCTGGGAGGGGGATACTGGCCTCATCGGCACCTCAACTTCTTTCTCTCAACCAGACAGTAAAAAAAAAAGGCAAAAGAAAGACCAAAATCGTCACAGAAATTATATTAAATGCATATTAAGTTTATACACAAAACCAAAAGTAAAGGTTTGTATTTAGTTCAATACCAGTTATTGGCTAAACCCAAATTTCTACTTCACAGTAAACCCAAACTTCTACTTCACAGTAAACCCAAACTTCTACTTCACCCTAAACCCAAACTTCTACTTCACAGTAGATCCAAACTTATACTTCACCCAAAACCCAAACCTTTACTTCACCCCTAATACAAACGTCTACTTCACTCTTGATCCAAACATTAACTTCACCCAAAACCCAAACTTCTACTTCACCCAAAACCCAAACTTCTACTTCACCCAAAACCCAAACTTCTACTTCACCCAAAACCCAAACTTCTACTTCACCCAAAACCCAAACTTCTACTTCGCCCAAAACCCAAACTTCTACTTCACCCAAAACCCAAACTTCTACTTCGCCCAAAACCCAAACTTCTACTTCACCCTAAACCCAAACTTCTACTTCACCCTAAACCCAAACTTCTACTTCACCCTAAACCCAAACTTCTACTTCACCCTAAACCCAAACTTCTACTTCACCCTAAACCCAAACTTCTACTTCACCCTAAACCCAAACTTCTACTTCACCCTAAACCCAAACTTCTACTTCACCCTAAACCCAAACTTCTACTTCACCCTAAACTCAAAATTCTACTTCGCCCAAAACCCAAACTTCTGCTTCATACTAAATCCAAATTTCTACTTCACCCAAAACCCAAACTTCTACTTCACCCTTAATCCAAACGTCAACTTCACCCAAAACCCAAACTTCTACTTCGCCCAAAACCCAAACTTCTACTTCACAGTAAATCCAAATTTCTATTTCACCCAAAACCCAAACTTCTACTTCACCCAAAACCCAAACTTCTGCCTCACCCTAAATCCAAATTTCGACTTCACCCAAAATCTAAACTTCTACTACACTGCTAATTTAAACTTCTACTACACTGCTAGTTTAAACTTCTACTACACTGCTAATTTAAACTTCTACTTCACCCTAAAACCAAAAGTCTACTTCACCTTAATCCAAACTCCTATTTCAATAAAAAAACAAATGTCTACTTCACCCTAAATCGAAACTACTGCTTCACCCTAAATTCAAACTTCTACTTCACCCTAATTCTAGACTTCTGCTTCACCCAAAACCAAATCTTCTACTTCACCCTAAATCCAAACTTCTGCTTCACCCTAAACCCAAACTCTACTTTTGTCGATGGCTAACAGTACAAAACTCACGGTGCATATGGAGTTCCTCTGGTCACTCTGTGTCTGCCTGTTTGTTCCCTGGGTTCATTATACATATTGGTGTGTGACTGTGAAGGGACATTAGAGTGTAAGCTCCTCTGGTACAGAGACTGATGTGAATTATTGACTATTCTCTGTACAACACTGCAGAATATGTCAAAGCTATTTAATGTATAATAATAGTGTGTGACAGTGGTAAAGAAAATAGTGCAGAGAATGATTTGAATGTCCCAGAGTTCTCTGTATAGCACTTTGGATTATGTCAGAGCTATATAAATGTATAACAATAATAGTGCGTGACTGTTCTGGGAATATTAGAGTGTAAGCTCCTCTGGCACAGAGACTGATGTGAATGTCTCTGTACAGCAGTGAACATTGTTCATTGTTCTGATTGTATGCGCTGTGCAATGTCAGCCATTCTGCTGTCCACTCCTGTCTGCTCACTCACACTCCCTTGCATGGAATGATATTCCATCTTGTCATAGCGTAGTCACTGAAATGAAATAATTTATCACATGTTTGTTAGTGTGTTTGGAAACAAAATACCAAATTTATCAAACC